GGGTCACATGACACATAAATAGCCAATCAAAATGTAAGTATATTTAAATTTTATTAATTTTAATTAATATTTTTACATATCGTATTTTCACAAAATACTAAATTTGGCCCGAATTAAGCTTAATTCGGGCCAAAATTCAAAATAACACTCTACACGTTTTTCGCGAAAATACGGTATTTATCCTAATTACCCTCCTAACTCTAACTGTTAACTAACTAACCCTACTAACCTTAACCGCTAACTAACTAACCCTACCTAACCCTAACCGCTAACTAACTAACTCTACCTAACCCTAACCGCTAACTAACTAACTCTATCTAACCCTAGCCATTAACCAACTTTAACCCGACATATGATGAAACTAATAATGATTCAACCATGGCTTACTAATAACTATCAAAATCATAATGCAACATATAATCGTAACCCAACACATGTTGAAACTAATAATGATTCTACCAATAGCAACATTGACAATGGCATAACAAAATACCAAAAACTATGGCTCTATTAGCTATCTAAAAAAAAAAATTTAGTTAGTCCTGCCACAGACAAGAAAAATCACTAGTAAAAAAATCTTGTAATGGCAATACTAGTAACAGAAAAACCAAAAACATAATTCCAGTAATGAAAACGTTAAAAAAAACAACCTCACCAAAAACAATGCCGAAGTAACGAATACACACTAACAAAGACTAACAAGGCCAAATACCGAAACTTCAGCAATGATACCTAAGAAGATGCTGCGGATACCAACACCACAAATCGACGAATCAGACCAACAAGGATCAACAAGCGAAATACCAAAACCGACAGTTCCATAAACGACGACTAGCTACCTAAAAAAAAAAATCAGTTAATCACGCCATAGACAAGAGAAACCACCAGTAACAACTCTTGTAATAGCAATACTACAGCCAAAAACAGTAAACACGACTTAATTTTACTAACAATGACTCTAGTAATGCGACTCTATTCTACTAACAGTACTCCAGTAATGCGACTCCATTCCACTAACAGCACTCCAGTAATGTGACTCCATTCCGACTCCAGTAACAATAGCTCTAATAATGGCGACTCTGAAAAGCTCCAATGACGATCTAATAACAACACGACTTCAATACCGCGATTCCAGTAACGAAGACTCAACACAACACCAATGATGATCCAAGGATTATTTGAGTAACAATGCTCTAATAACGACGACACTAGAAATGCGACTCATTATCTATAAGCCTGAAAAAAAAAAAAATAGGGTTAGTAAAACGTCTACATGAACTAAAGCAAAAAAAAAGAAAATAAACAATGATTGGCATGGAAATCATTGCTTATATATTGC